CCCAGGGACTCGGGCTGGTCCGACGTCAGCGACTCTTCGGCGGGAGGAGCGAGACTCAGCTCCCCCGTGAGCGACGCCAGGAGGCCGAGGTCCTTCCCGCTGGTCGTCGAGACGTCCCCTGGGCCCCCCATCATCGTCCCTGCGTCCCTACCACCTCCCCCGCCCCCTGGCTCGTGGACCTCGCTCGCATCGCCGATCGGCGACAGCGGGGGCACGGGGCAGTAGAGGGGCGTGTCCGAGTGGCAGAAGTGCGAGAAGTTGGCGCTGCCCTCGTCGAAGTCCTCCTCCAGCGTCAGCCTCTCCTGGCCGGCGCTCGCCACCTCGCTGCTCGAGTCGTAATCCACCACGATGTCCGACGTGGTTTCCGACACGGCGCTCGACAGCCCCACGTCTTCCGGCTGCAGGTGCACCGACGCGGCCTCGTCCAGCTCGTCGATGTCGTCCACGTCGCTGTCGAGCGCCTCCGCCTCCTCCTCCTCCTCGATGCTCTCCTCGATGGCGCCGAGTTTGGGCGCGCTCTTCGACCGCTCCAGCGGAGGCCGGTAGTTGGCGGCGCCCGTGGAGAGCAGCAGGCGGCGCCGCGGGATGGCGGCCGAGTCGTAGATGGCGTGCATGAGGGACAGGCGGGCGTTCTGGCGCACCACCTTCTCTCGGCGGAACTCCTGCAGCGCCGACGCCAGCCGCACTCTCAGCTGGGCGGCCATGGCCTGGGGGAACACGGGCCAACGTTACATTGTAGACATGGGTTAGGATTCGACTATTAATATGTCTCTAGGCAACTGAAAGAATGCGTCTAAGACCTTGCTGACCTTGTTCAATACTGGATATATTAGATCATGACAGCCTGCCTCTAACCTAAGGTTTACGAAAATGGCCCTAGCGTTAAGATTTATTACATATAACTTTGGACAGTCTTATCAAACATGCATATCTGAATATATGCCCATACACACACAGGGTTATACACTTACCAAAATAATACGTAACAAATTACCTGAACAAAACATACTAAATACCAAACACGTAACAAATCACTTCTCTCCTAACGTACCCTAACCTATAAACATAAAAACCGGTACCTCCATCATTACCTCAGCTTTCTCAGTCTTCGGGCAGAGCACCGCATGGCAGCGCAACTCCTGCTTCAGCCGCCTGCCCTCGTGACGGTACACCCAGCAGAAGACCCGAGGGTACGCCGGGTGCGCCGCGCAGTACGTCACGCGGTGCGCCCAGTACTCGGTGAGGCCATGCTCGCGGGTCACGGCGCGCAGGCCCGCGCCGCAGATCGTCACCTGCAAGGCCGAGCGTTGATTAATGGGGCTGTTGTTATTATTATCTTTGTTTTTATTTTTATTATAATTATTATTGTCATTACTATTATTATCATGATCATTATCATAATTACTATCAATATTATTAATAGTATCAGTATTATTATCAATATTATCATCATTATTATTAATAGTAGTAGTAATATTATCAAATAATCACTGTTATTACTATTACATTACTATCACTATCATTACCATTATGGTGATAATAATAATAATAATAATTTTATTACTACTGCATTATTAACATTATTATTATTATCATTATTATCATTTATGCCATCATTATCATTACTATCATTATTATTGTTATTATTATTATTATTATTATTATTGCTATCATTATTTTTATCAACATTATCATTATCAGAAGTAGTAGTTGCAGTAGCTGTATTAAAATAGTGGTAAATAGTAGTAAAAGTAGTAGTAGTTGTAGTAGTAGTAGTATTCTTATCATCAACATTATCACTGTTTACAATTACTATTATCATTATTACTATAATATTACTATCTTTATAATCATCATTATCACGATTTGTATTACAAACAATATTATTATCAAAGAGAGAGAGAGAGAGAGAGAGAGAGAGAGAGAGAGAGAGAGAGAGAGAGAGAGAGAGAGAGAGAGAGAGAGAGAGAAGAGAGAGAAAGAGAGAGAAAGAGAGAGAAAGAGAGAGAGAGAGAGAGAGTGCGTGCGTGTGTGTGTGTGCGTGTGTGTTAGCGTGTATGTCAATGAAAGCGTATGCGTGTGAAAGCGTATGTGCGCACATGCATTTCCGTACATGCGCCTTCGTCCACATGTACACGACCACACGCTGAAACAAGAAACACATGCAGACATAGACGTAGCTCCCTCACCTTCATAGCGATGTCTTGGCGACTGCTTTGGCAATAGTTCCTCCATAGGGTAGACAGCGGCTTGTCCACGCACCCGTCACCTGGGGAAAGATAGTACGTCATGATGGATGATGGAAATAACAACAACAACAACATAACGACAATAATAATAATAATAATAATAATAATAACTACAAAAATTGTGATGATGAAGAAGATATCAGTAATAATTATTATCATTATTATCCATATCATAATAAATCAATAATAATAATAATAATAATAATAATAATAATAATAATGACAATAATATGTTACTTTTGCTTCTCAAGATGGCCTTAGTAATGACTTCTTAAAGATCGCAATTTCTTTTCACGCTGCCTAACTAGACGCAAAGGAATGTGACCAGAAAGACGCAATTCGGCAGATCTGTACTAACTATTATGTATTAATAATGTAAACTCTTGATCAAGTTTTTGTTTACCTTGAAGGCGTTGGAGGAAACAATAGGAGGAAATTAGAAAACGGGGTTCGATTAGGACAGACTCGTAAATTTTTCATCATGCGGGGCTCTGGCGGGGGGGGGAGGGGGGAGGGGGGGAGAGAGAGAGAGAGAGAGAGAGAGAGAGAGAGAGAGAGAGAGAGAGAGAGAGAGAGAGAGAGAGAGAGAGAGAGAGAGAGAGAGAGAGAGAGAGAGAGAGAGAGAGAGATTTTGCGGAGGGAAATGTCAGAACTTGAAAAACGAGTCGCCTGTACCTTTTTCTTCTCTTTCTTTCCGAACGGAGCCTATAGCTCATGGTCGCTAGCATTTTTTTTTCTTAATTTACTAGAAGCCACCTCTCACCTCTCAACCTGTCTAGATATATCGATACATATTTACAGGCACACATATATATACACATACATAGACATACAGACTGACAGACACACACACAGATATACACACACACACACACACACACACACACACACACACACACACACACACACATATATATATATATATATATATATATATATATGTGTGTGTGTGTGTGTGTGTGTGTGTGTATATATATATATACATCTATACACACACACACACACACACACACACACACACACACACACACACACACACACACACACACACACATATATATATATATATATATATATATATATATATAAATGCGCGTATTTGCACACCTTTCCTAACAAGTCAGAACTCAATAATTCAGCTAGATTAAACAAAACAGCTTTCCTGAAAACAGAAAAAACGCCCAACCAATGCCACACGTGACCGCCACATCCGGCCATAAAAAAAGATAGTGGAAAATGTTATCTTGCAGCGAAAAAAAAAGATAAAACATCAACGATAAGTATGAAACAACACCGTCTAATACATTTCTAAAATAATGATGCACGCAGCCCTTTGATATTGAAACGAATTCTAAATCAAAAGGTTTCCATTAGCGGATATTTGTGAAAGACTACCCATCTCCCGTACCTGTATCTGCATCATTTTGTATCTTCGGTGTCTTTGCAATGGGTGTATCAAGCGATCCTACAGCAGAATGAAGCTCAACTCTAGGGTTTCCAAATATGGAATACCGCGTAGCTCCCTGGCCATCTGGCGATTAACATTTTGTGATCTCATCAATGTCGTTACTCTGACGTCTTTAATGACGATGCTCTGACGTCACAAAAGCAGAAACTGACAATCTGGTATGAACCTCTTTATAGTCTGCCTGTAGATATTCTGTTCTTTTTCAAATGCTTCGTTTATTATGCTACACACACACACACACACACACACACACACACACACACACACACAGGCGCGCGACACCGTAACAAATGAAAGAAACTACTGGTATTTTATATATCACTACAGCTCTGACATCACTTCCGGAATTCGTCAAACAAAAGAAACCTATCCCTGTTCAATACGATGAAATCCATAATACCTCGCAGTGAGAAAAATAAATGAATAAACAGAAAACGGCGCTCAAAGAGGATGTAAACACTTATTGACGTCACATTGAAATATATACCTGTCGCGTTACCTGTTCGAGCTACCTGATTTCGAACGCGTATCTGCCCAGTTGGAGGTGCGAATAAGAATGAACACTTCCACAATAAAATGCAATACATATATATATATATATATATATATATATATATATATATATATATATATATATATATATATATATATATATATTTATACACACACACACACACACACACATATACACACATATATATATATACATATAAATTTCTCGATATTACAATATTCCTTGTAACAAGACCGACATGAAGATTAACCACGCATTTATAATATATAGATGAATTCCCTCATCGTGGAATTCTTCATTGTCATTCTCTCTCTTCCTTCCAGCTGCTCGTTTCGATGCACTCTTTAACACGAGGATCCAGTCTGATGACGCAATTCTGTCATTACTTTCCTTGTATGTTTCTTTTGTCTTTTTTCTTCCTTTTAAAGCGGTATATCCGGTAAAATTATATTAAAGCTATTTATAACATTCTTGTTGTTCTTATTTCTGTTATTGTCGTTATTATTATTAGTAGTATCATTATCATTATTATTAATAATCATTATTATTATCCTTATCAATTATTATCATTATCATTAAGCATTATCCTCTTCATTATTATTATTATTATTATTATCGTATTCTAACTCTTATCACCATCATTATCACTTTGAGTATCTTACAATCGATATTATTAAGTTAAAGCGCCCAGTACCCAGTAGCTAAGTGCCTATACATGCATCCACACACACACACACACACACACACACACACACACACACACACACAG